GTTGTACCCTTGGTCAGTATCTTCTTCCTTCCGCTCGTGCTAAGTTCACAGAGATTCAATGTGAAGAGAGTCGGAGACTTTTCATGCTCGACACTTCCAATTCAGTCGAATCATCTGCCATGGTCACTAATAGCACTCAACGCTCGTCCATGTCATCTCGTGTCACTGGCTCCACTTATGATTACTCTCACAAACTCAACCATACTCGGGACAAATGTTGGAAAATCCATGAAAAACCAGGACACAAACTGTCTGCCAATTCTTCTCTGCTAAGGATCTCACTACAAAATTTGATTCTACTTTAGTTCAACCTGCCTCCAATTGAAACACTCTAGAATCATCTAAAACTCTTAAGAGTCAAATGGAAAAATTAATCAAACTACTTGGATCCTTGATTCTCTTCTGCTCCATCGACCTCCCATGTATGTCAAGGTATCATTCCTATGGCTTTGACTTCATTTATCTCTTCTAGTTCTTGGATTATTGATTCAGGTGTCACGGATCACATGACTGGATGCTCTCAAGCATTCTCGACATATTATCCTCGCTTGGAGAAAGATACAATTAAAATTATTTACGGCTCCACTAACTATATTGCTGGTAAAGGATGGGTTGTATTAACAACTGGTCTAAATCTAGAATCTATGTTGCATGCTCTCTTGTTGAAACGTAACATTTTATCTATTAGTAAGCTGACACATGACATGGATTGTATTGCTCATTTTTCTCCTGATATTTGTGTCCTTCAGGATCGTCGTTCGGCAAGGATGATTGGAACCGCTAAGTAGGTAGTCGGACTCTACTTATTCCAAGAGAAAGGCATGAAAAATAAGGACACTTCTACCAATAGTTGCAGTCATTCTCAATCCAATAAATGTCGTATTATGTTGTTACATTATCGTTTGGGTCATCTCAGTTATCAATATTTAAATATTTGTATTCGTTGATGTTTACTAACAAAAATCTTGCTAGTTTCAAAAGTAAAACTTGTCAATTAGCTAAACATCTTCCTGTTCCATATTATCTTCACCTTTACATGCCTTCCGCTCATTTTTCAATAATTAACAGTAACATGGGGGATCCTCGTACGCCCAACTACACTAACAAATCGTGGTTTCTTACATTAATTGAAAATCACACTCGAATAATGTGTATCTATATCTTAAAAGATAAATCTGAAGTTATTGTGACTTTCAAAAACTTTCATTCCTTCATTTTGATACAATTCAAAACATCAATTCATGTCCATCATACTAACAATGTTTGTGAATTCTTTTAACTCTATTTTTAGGAGAATTCTTGACAAGTAAGGGAATCATCTATCATAGTTAATGTACGGACACTTTCCAACAAAATAGATAAGTCGAGAGAAAAAACCAAAACTTTCTCAGAGTGACTCGCTCCATTATGTTTCAATCTAATTTCCCGAAAAGCTTTTGGAATGATGTCGTACTTGCTGCCACCTATCTCATCAATAGAGTTTCCAGAAAAATTCCTAACTTACGAACCCCTTTAGCAATCTTAATGTCTTGTTTCTCTACCAATTTGTTCTTCACCGGTACTGAAACCAAAATTTTTTAGTGCACGGCCTTTGTTCAGAAGATTGATCCAAGTCGTAGTAAGCTTGATCCCAGATCCATAAAATGTGTCTTCATTGGGTATTTAGCCACTCAAAAAGGCTATCAGTGTCATGATTCTACCACAAAAAAACTTTATGTGAGTGTTGATGTCTCCTTAAAAGTGTTTCCGACTTCCCTATCACTGCCTCGAGAGAAAGGGAGCTTAATTTCTTGTACACTTTCCCTTAGCCAACCCCGATGGATATTTCGCCAACCACTATATCCAAGGAACAATCCGTTCCTCTGAATCCATCAACTATCAGTCAGCCAAATCCTCCTCCATCCTCCATGTCAATACTCGGCGCACTCGTCCTAATGGTCCAACTGTGGAGTCTGCTTCTTCCTTACAGGACCAGGAATCCACTCCAAGAGGCATCCCTAAGACTAACCACACTCTGAATGCGGAGATGAATTCACCTATTGAGGTATGTAATCAGGCAAGCACTCTTTATTCCATGAAAAAATATATCTCTTTTAACAATGTATCGCCGACCAACAAAGTGATTGCTACTGCCTTGACGAATCACCATCTATCGTTTAATATTGAAGCAGAATTAGTTGACCTTCGTGGAAAGCTACAGGAATGGATGAGATAATTGTCTGTGGATCTTCCTCCAAGTAAGAAAGCAGTGGGGTGCCACTGGATTTTAAGCACCAAGTTCAACTACAATGGATCCTTTAAACGCAACAAGGCATGGCTGGTCGTCAAAGGCTGCTCAAAAACATACGAGGTTGATTATGAGGAAACATTTGCTCTGATTGCTAAATTGGACATCATCCGGGTTTTACTTTCTCTTGCTGTGAATCTAGATTGGTCCTTGCTCCAGTTGAATGTCAAGAATATTTTCCTAAATAAGGATCTCTTACTTTCTCTTGCTGTGAATCTAGATTGTTGAATGTCAAGAATATTTTCCTAAATAAGGATCTCACAAAGAAGGTGTACCTGTGTTTCCCTCTAGGCTTTGACTCTATTTTTCCCAAAGGGACAAGCATACAGACTGAGAAAGTCCTTCTACGGACTAAAGCAATCCCTAAAGATATGGTTTAGTAAGTTCACAAAAGTACTAATGGGTTATGAATTTTTTTAGGCTCAATCAGATCATACTCTCTTCTTTCAACATTCTTCCAGTGGCAAATTGTTGTACTTTTCATCTATGTCGACAATATCATGCTCACAGGGAATGATCAACCAACATTAAAGTCCTGAAAAGTATTTTTGTTACTTTATTTGAAATGAAAGACTTTGGATCACTCTGGTACTTCTTAGGCATGAAAATTGCTTGGTAGTCTTGACGTATTATTAGCCTAATTAATGTTGTTGTTATTATTAGGCTAATAATTTTAATAAAAATGTTTTATATTTATATTGAAGATAAGAAAATAATAGCATAATTGACTATAATACATCAAAAATTTGGATTCTGTTGGGAATTGATTGAGTTAAATATTTTGCCACAGATTAAATGCTTTAAGAAAATAATTAAGTTCGACCTGCCTAAAGAGAAATTATTTTACTTTTATTGTGAGAAGAATATGCTATCATCTCTAATCAGTGCATTAAAGATTAAAATGTACTTGATAAATGTTGAATTGGTACTCTTGGCAAAAATTGATAAGCTAAATAAGAATGCGCAAAAATTAAAAATATATATATATAAATTTCAAATGTTGCAAAAATTTTAATGTAATTCCTGATGAATAAATACTTTTATCACCTAAAATAGGAATAATTTTGGAACTGATTTTCAACAAGGGTCGTCTGCAGCATAAAAATACCATTACAGACTAACTATCAAGAAATTGCCTAAATTAAAATATTTAAGATATGATGAATAAGAGATTTATTCGATCAAGTAATTCACCATAAGGTGCACCTGTACTTTTTTTTACGAAAACTAATAAATCTATAGACATGTCCATTCAATACGTAGAGTTGAATAAAATAATAATGGAAACTACTATACACTGCCATGAATTAAATCTGTATGATCAAATGGAAGGTGTTATTGTATTCCTCTAGAAAAATTTGCGATCCAAATATCATCACATCAGAATTAAAAAGCAAATAAAATCACGATGGATTTTGGAACCAAGCATGAACATTATGACATTTTAATGTCATTTAGTCTAACTAATGCTCATAACTTATTCACTAATTTTATGGAGCAGATTTTCAAGATATATATTGATCAATTTATGATTATATCTATCAATAATATTTTAAATTATTCTAAGACTGATAATAATTAGTTTGAACATTTGAGAATAGTTTTAAAATTATTAAGGAATTATTTGAATGCAAAATTTTCAAAATATAATTTTTTATTAAAGATTACATTTTATGGCCATGTTGTAAGTGGCTAAACAATCTTAGTAAATCTTCAAAAGAAGAAAATTAATATTGGAATGTTTTATATCAAAGAAAGTTATTAAGGTTTGTAGTTTCATGGGTTTAACTGAATATTACCAAAGGTTTGTCAAGGAATTCACACAAAATTATGTCATTATCGAAGTTGATAGAAAAGAATGTTAAAATTTCAGTGAACAAAAAAAATGTGAAAACACCTTTCAAGAATTTAGAACTAAAAGCTACATCAATGTTAGCTATTCCATCAAAATATAATGATTTCAAATTTATTATGCTACATCACTAGAAGGATTGATATGTGTTTTAATGATGTACAGAAAATTAATTACTTATACATCTAAATAGGCACAGGATCTAAATTTAACAACTGTTATATTTGCTTCAAGGATCTATATGTGTCGCCTTCCTCCAATGCACGCTCTGCTCTCAACATCGCATCAGTTTGTGCTCTGCTCTGATTAACGCATGAGACCAGCTCATTGCACCTAATCACTCAATCTCAAACCCTGATTCTAGTTCACGTGTGCGACGTTGCTCCTATTTGTAATTAGGGCGAAGCCATCCATTTAAAGCTCCTTCATTTCCTCGTCTTCTTATAATAGCTAATCTACCCTTCGTCTTCATTCGCTCATTTCGTCTCCCTCTACAGCTTTTCCCCGTTTATACAATACTCAATCAGACATATCATTTAGTAATTTCATTATATATTTAACACACATTTTTTCTTACTGCATGACAGATCAAATCTTTAATTACTCAAAAATGTGTCTTCCCAAAATAAATAAAAAATATCTAAAAATAATTTCTTTGTTATCAAAATATTTCCATAAATATTAAGACTTCTAATCCCAATAAAAAACAAGCATACAAAAACTATAAAATGGGAGTATCATGATTTTCAATTTTAAAATCATCACAACATAAAAAATGAAACTATAATAAAATCCAATGGCCATAATAATGCTAAAAAAATCATGTTATACAAGGAGTGGTTGCAACTTGGGCAAACATACCGACTCTCTCTTAAAAGCACCAGCCACCCATTCAGCAAGATCCAGAGCTGCTTTATCCTCTGCAGGTAAGGAGAAGCGATGCACAGCTTCTTCCCCAAGATCATATTTAGCCCTTTGCATGCAACTGTGTCGAAATCATGAAAAAAAGATGTTTCAAAACTTAATTTCTAACAGGAAAAAATTCGTATGCAATTATAGTAGCAAGTATACAAATAGAAAATTACCATACAACTCAAGAATTTACAGCACAGTCAAGTATACTGATATTATTAGTGAGATTTAAAATGAAAGAATCCTAATAAGATGACTTAGGAAGGGATGAAATATCATCTTAAGGAGCTTTAATCATAATATTTCCCTTTCTGATGCAGAAAACATTCTAAAAGAAGAATTTCAGAGAGCACAAATCCATAATAGTGTTTTTAGTCTTCAAAAATAAAAACAAAAGAACCTTTAAAGCAAAACAACAGCAACGCTGATGGTCATGACATTAAAAGATATGTATCCAACAAAAAATATTTAAATAAAGTAAGCCAACTTAAAAAAAAATTGTCGTTATGTGTTATGTACAAAATAGCAATGATTTCTAACAAAATTTTTATAAAGACAATCTTACAGATTACACACCAAAATTTCTTAATAAGTCTCAAATCATAAAACAAAATTATACAAGATTGTCAGAAAAATGCTCATTTAAAAATTACTGAGATATTATCTACAAGCATTTCTATATGAAACATCCCTATAAGAATTTTAACAATGATAAATTAAGAAGTAAATATTTTTGAAATGAATATTAGCATGTATATGTTAAATAACATATGCCTAAACACATGAATGCAACACCAAGGCATGCATAGAAAGACATGCATCTTCCACTGCCTCGAGATATGCTTGTATGAATAGATATACATATATTGCAGAATATGTAATAACCAATTTTTGAGATCATGGAGAAAATTTTGACAACATAAAATGTAACTCAATTTCACACCCCTCAGATTTCAATCAAAATAAATTTACAAAATTCTACATGAAAAATAGATCAATTTCATATAAAGTAGTGTATGTAAAATATGAATGGTTTGGGAGATATATAATGTTGAAGTTATAAGTTCAATTAATTTCATTAACCTTCTATTTCCCTAATCCTCAGCACTGTAGCCCACCGACTTATGCCTCTTTTATTCCTTTCGTGTGATTGAATGAGTTCAGAGCTCTCGAAATCTCCTCCCCTCCCGATACACCTTTTCCCCTCTCGATTTCACTCACACACCCTCCCTTCCGATTCGATTGACCTAGGCAGAAGCTCCTGTGAGGGACTTTGATCGCACCTTATCCCGCAGACGCGATCCGAAAGGCACGAGCGGCCATGTGGTAAGTAGCGATTCACTTCCCATTTCTAATTTCCTCTCCCGATACCCCTCCCCATTCCTTTCTCGCATGACAGAAGAAGCGAGGGAGATGGCAGTCGCAAGTAGTAGACGGGTCGAGTGTCGTAGAGGGAAGCCACAATACACAATTTAAGGCTCTGGGACAATTTACGTAAGTGTGAATCCTAATTTCACGCTATTTAGGATTTTTTTATTCCTCGCAGTTTCATTTTAAGCTTTGCCTTGTTTTTCATGTATTTTTTCCTTTCTAATAGTCGTCGGAGCCGCCGATTATGTGTCAGAAGCATCGAACATCTTTGAAGAGCTTCCAAAAGGATTCAATCACAATATCAGCATAGCAAAAGTGTGGTTGGAGGTGATAGAAAGTAAATTTTACAGCTTTTGAGAAGAACTGGTCGAAAAGAAAACCGTTTAAGATATGTTTTAGCAAATCAATGATTTTTTTAAGATAAATTAACTATTGAACTAATAAATTATCAATTCCTAATTCATTTAAGATGTTAGGTTGGTTATGTGAGGCAACAAGTTTGAGTCAAGCGTGCAGAAAATTGTCGTAGGTCGACTCCGTTAAAATTCAGGTAATTAATCCTAAGCTAAGAAAATTAATTCGATTGAAAGAAATTGTTTAAATATTAAAAATTTAAATATTTTGTTTTATAGGTTATTGAGCTTAATATAAAAGTCATCATAACCTTCAGCTAGTTAGTGAGGATTAAGACTTTAGCGTCGCAACTGAGGTGAGTAGTTACATTTCTAAATTTCAGTAATTTTCTTTAGTTCAAAATGTATGTCGACTTATATGTATATTTTTATATTGTTAGATAGTAAAGATATCGACTTATATGTATATTTTTATATTGTTAGATAGTAAAGATATGCATGATAAGCAGTTTTTTGTAGTTAAAGACAACAGCAGTCAACTAAACGTATCCCTAAATTCTCTTGGGGATAAAGATTTCAATCTCTATCTCACAAAAGTATCTTCCTCGCCCGCTTTTTGATGATTTCAAATTCAAGTTGAACATGATTAACATCTATGTTTCAACTTGACGAGGAGAATTAGAAGTTATTAGAAATTGATTGATTTTTTATCTTGTTATTTCCTATTTTATGTCTTCCTATTACCTCCAAGTAGTTATAAAAAAATTAATTAACCATAATTTTGGAGATATAGGTGTTATTTCTTTCCTAAATTTGTCATATTGATGTTATTTCTTTCCTAAGTTAGAAATATGAGTGTTATGACTTTCCTATTTTAGAATTCATGTAACATGTATTTATTCCCTTTCATATCAACAAGATCATTCCACTCAATTCTCTGAAAATAACAATAATTTTAAAACCATCTCTAAAATGCTACTCTCCTATCTAGCCAACATCTTTCAAATAGGTTTAAAATATTCTAATTTGTCATTGGCCTTTTTCAGAGCAACATCCGGTACTGAATATATTTTAAATCTTCTTAAACTGTTCTTTAGCATCTGATCACTCACATGATATATAAATCTCTAGTCTTCGCTTTATTTGTGCCAAGCCTGTCCTTTTTATTTGCACCTTGTTGCTTATAATATCGCTACATCACAGGTTCCTGTGTAAAAAAAATGCACAAAACCTCATACGAGTATCTATTTTTAGAAGACATGTTTACTAAAGAAGAGGTGACTTAAAGCCAAGTAGATCAAAAGAACAGTTCAAAAGCAGATAAATGTAGATGACAAAAGCTGCAGCGTATTACTGATGCTTAGCTAACCAGGTTTATTGATGGAAGTAAAGTTTAGGATTTAGTTTTCAAATGCAACTAGAATGATGTAAGGAATATTAATAACACGAGGAAAATTAAAATTTTCATATCAAACACAATTAAACCTAAAAACCATAAACGGAAAAGCATCAATGAGAAGATGAGAGAACATCTCTTCATACATAACTGGAAGAGATTAGCACACACAAATTAGAGCAAAAAAGAGACAGCACTCATACTTGAACTAATCAATAATTCATTCATAACTATTCATTGAATCGAAATATAAGCAATGACTTTCATATTTATAGAACAAGGACTACAAGATAAGATTCAAAAAATGGGACCAATTATTTGATTTAAAATCTAATCGTCAAATCATAAGAAATTCAAATCCAAGCCTGTAACCACCCAAAAAAAAAAAACATAAATCCTAATTAAATTGAATATATAAAATAAATTATACTACAACAAGATATAGATTTAAAAAGTGTTACTAAATTCTAAAAGTAGAATTAATTCCACAAAGTATGAAGAATAAAACAAATTGAAGAAAAAAAAGGAACGAAAACATAAAAAATGAGTAGCTTATAAAAAAAATTTAAAATAAAATTAATTTTTCTGAAGAAAGGAAACAAAAAAATTGCTAGAGTCTTGAAATAAAACTAGAAAAAACGAAACATATAGAAAAGAGAGGAAAAAACTGAATGGACTAAAGGAATATAGGACTGATCTCAATGAAGTTTAAACCTGTGGGTGAGTGTAGAAGCTTGAACTTTTGGCTGAGGCAATTACCAAACGCTCTTTTGAAGAAACAAAGAATAAATTTTTAAGTTTTATTTTGATTTAGCTAAAATCTTATTGTATTAAAGACCAAATGTCCGTACCTAAGAAATTCTATCAAAGGCTTAATTAAAGATTCTAAAAAGTTCATTACATAGTCAAATAGACATTGTAAATAGATGCAATTTGAAACCTAATTCAATACATCAAAATTCAAGACCCATACCTCAATCAATTAAAATGTTAAATGTAAGTTTTGAATATTTTCCCAAGCACCATCAAACGAAATGAGTTTCCAAGCATAGGTTTCGAGAGTTTTTTTTTTAAAATCATGATCTTAATAAGGGCTGTCAAAAAGGTTCGTTCTTTGCGAACAGCTCATGTTCGGCTTGTGCAGCTCGTGTTCGGTTCATTCATTACGCTTAACGAGTCGAACAGGAAAAAATATTTAAGTTTCAAATATAAGCGAGCCGAACACAAACAAATATTTGTTTGCTTGTGTTCGATTTGAATTGGCTCGAAAAGAAATACATAAAAAAATAAATATAGTTAATATTACGCGGTGTTATTGGCGTTTTTCTACGGTGTAACACAATGTAATGACACCAATAACACCGCGGAATAACACACGAGTAACACCCGTTGTGTTATCGGTCTCCATCCGTGGTGTTATTCGTGTTATTCCGCGGTGTAACGCAGCAGAATAAAACCAATAATACCGCGAAATAACACCGAGTATCAACTACTGTGTTATCAGTATTATTTTGTCGTTTGCAGTGTTATTGGTGTTATTCTGCGGAATAACACCGATAAAACCAATAACACCACAGAATGACACCCCGCAGAATAATAGAGATAACACCGTGGAATAACACCAATTATACGATAATAATGTCGCGGAATAACACCAATTGTGTTATTCCGCGGTATTATTCTCGTATTTTTGGTGTTATTCTGCGGTATTATTCTATATTACCAGAATAACACCCTAATAACACCAATAGCACCGCGTAATAGCACCCGATAGCACAGTAATAACACCCGAGTGACACCTGCAATAACACATGAGTAACACCCGCACTATTTGGGTGTTACTCAGGTGTTATTGCTGGTGTTTCTCAGGCGTTATCGTTGAATTATCAGTGTTATTCCATCGTCTGCGGTATTATTAGCACGATTCTATGAAATTTTATATTCTACCGAACC